TTTTTTTCATTTTTCATACTGAGATCTCGGCTCAATCAAAATGAGGTGAAATTAAGCAGCAAAAATAATAGTATTCTATCTTTTTTAATAATGGAAAAGACCAAGTAAAAATCTCAATAAGATTTTAATTTCTATATCAATGGTGGTTAACTGATCTGTACCATATTTGATATTTTTTCAAGATATTCTTTTAAGAAATAATTCGGGTAAATAATTTGAAGTCATACTAATATGATTGTTTTAGGTTATTAAACTGTATCAATTTGATCATTAAGATTTTGCCAATCAATTTAAATAATTCACTAACCAAATGCTTTTTGTGTATTTTTTATTATGATGATTGTCATTTTGGGGGTAAAAGTATCAGTTGAGCAAAAATCGAGCTGTTACCGAAAACAACTCCATTCGGCTTATTTACTTAAATAAGTCGAACTCAAATAGTTAATTGAGCTTAGTCATTAAAAGAGTCGGGTGAAGCTTAAACGAGTCGAAATCGAGGCATGTCTTTGACTCGGTTGTTAAGCGAGTCGGATCAAGCTTAAATAATCCGAGTTCGAGACAAGTCTCTAGCTTGTTTATTAAACGAGATGGGCTGAGCTGGCTCGTTTATTAAACGAGCACGAACTTATACAATAGATAAGCGGCTCGCCTAAGCTCTCAACTCAAATAACAACCCCTAAATGAACCATTATTACATAACTAGTTAAGTTTAATTTTTGATAAATGCTTCATTAATCACGGGAAGATATTCATTTCTCATTTTCATATAGGTTCAAGGAATCATAATAAAATTCATAATTTAATTAATGTTATATAGATTACCCATTACATTCTTATTTATATATTAAAAACTCTCATTACAACTATGATTAACACAACATTCAATTACGACTTTTGATTCGTTCTGGAAATTATATATATTTTTTTTTCGAAACGATAGAAGTAATATATTAATAAAAACCCACAAAGTGCAACGAGAAAACAACCAAAAACTTAATAGTATAACCAAAGGTTGAAAATACTGTGAGGCTTTTTCGAAGATCGCCTAGAACCTGCTAGCAACGCTAGAAAGACAAACTCGCAATTACATGAAAACACCTAACACAAACAAAAACTAAAACAACTAAAAAGATCCCAACATGATAATGTTCGAGTGTAGGATCCTAACATAATAATAAGTGACAATTATATTTATAACTTGGATATATTTTTCCACACGAGATTTTATTCTAAATTGAACAAAACATTATATACATTTGATTATTCAATAAATAAACTATGGGATCTGAATTAATTTACATTTTACTAGTCGACTCCGTAATTATCATAAGTCATCCTGCATGTTTGACTTCAAACAAAAGGTACTTTCACTGTGGAAATAATTGGAAATAGAAGAGAAACATATCACTAGTCAACTGCGTAATTTAACATAAGTAAGACTAGCCGAACCTAGTCTACCTCAAACTTTTGATACTCGAATTCGAATTTATAGGCGATGCGATCAATGAGCTCAGAGCTCGAGCCTAAACTAGCCGAGCCACAAAAAGTTACATACAATTTAATATTTTCAGTCTTAACGAGCCGAGCCAAACTGGGGCTCTTCAAAAAACAAACTCATTTGAGCTCTAGAAAAAGGTATGCACAAAGCAATGGTTAAGACAAGGTATAGTTTGAATGGACACAATTTGAGGTCCCTTTTTTGTTCAATCATAAGTTTGACCAAAATGACATTTTCTATGCTTCTCTACAAATCTCCATCTAATAGAACCATTAGACTAAATAGACCCCAAAGGCCTCTCTTGGCTATAAACCTAAAGGCCTCTCAAATTCTCCGGTTTGTCGATGATTGAATAAACCGGCTAGTTAACGACACGTCCTTTCACTCGCCCAACAGGCGAATGTGATAAAAACTCCAACATTATTGTTACAAAATTATTTCAGTATATACAAAATTGTTAAAGAAAAATTCTATCGTCGCCCGTTTGCCCAGTTCCTGTTATTGTGGTTGCTGCCGGGCCTCATTTGTGGATTCCTCTGAACAACACTCTGTTTCGGGAGGTCACGCAATTCCACAACTTGTATCGTTCGTTGCTTTTTGGCTGTTGCTAGGAAAAAACATAAAACTATATCATATATTCACTCGGTACATTAATGTCGATTCTTAAGTTAAATAAATAAATAAAAAAAAAGAACTAACCGTTCTCGGCTTCTTGATATCGTTCCTGCAGCTTTCTCTTTGCAGCCTCCAATTTCATGTGAGACGAGGTCTCGTTGCTACAATTTAGCTTCTGATAAAAAATAAATAAATAAATAACAATCTTATTAAGGAATAAAGTCTCTAATATATACTTATTTATCTAAGCTGCAATATTCATTCACCTCCTTTTGAGAAGGCATGGGCTTCCTCTGGACAGAACCCATTTCAAATTTTTGCTGGGCCTTAATCTCGCCGTTGGGCTTAGGCTTGATCGCTGGTTTTGGTCTACCGGGGCCCGACTCGTAATTGGAAGGTTTAGGTATGCCCGGGCCACGCTGGCTGCCGAGAGGCCCATTCGGCTTAGGAAGAGCTTGTGCTAATTGGGATGGTTTTCTCAACATAGTTTCTTGATTTCTATACTCTTCGTCCCTTTTCTCCTCTCGACTCTCGATTTTCGGCTTACGAGCGCCTGGTTTCTCAATGTTCGGTTTATTTCTGCCCTTTTCACGGTTATTGTTGAATTCGCCACAGTTACGAGGATCTGAAAAACGGTTATTCCCAATCAGAAAAGCATACATACTTTCTGTTTCTACTATTTTTTTTTTCTCTTTCCTTTTTTTTTTGGTGTCAAAACCGAATAGCAAAAGAGGACAATGAAGAAACGTACTTCCATCATCATCCATGCCGTCGAAAAACTTCATCATGACAGAGGAACGAAACATAAAGCAGAAAAGAAGTTCATGAGTTAATGCACCCTTGCAAAAACTTGATTTTTTTTTTCCTATTATGAAAGTAATAATATTTATAAATAAAACATGGCACCTGTGACAGCTCCATTGAAGTTGGGGTGGTGAAAAAAGCTCCCTCGTCTAATGGAGGAGAGGGCAGTCCTTCCTCTTCTTCTTCTTCAACAACAGAAGTTTTCACAGATTCAGGTCGAGTTTCGGCATCTGCAAAAGTTGCCACAGTTTATATTGAATCTTTATTAAGTTGAAATGCTTTTAGTAAAAGAGATTTTTGAGCAAAAGAAAAGTACCTGCAATGGCTTTTGTAGCATCAACCCACGAATCAACCATTATTTTCCAGTCCCTGCATTTTATACCAAGCGGTGCTAACAATGAGCGACAATGTTTTTAAACTCTAAAAGATTTAAAAGGAAACCAAATGCTAATTAAATGTTTTTTTAATAAGACAATGCAACGTGTTCCATAGCGATGGAGTGATTCAAACCACCGAACGGATTTGCCGCTTGTCGTGTCCTCGTATTCTTATTTTTTACTATATTCGGCCGGTAAATATATGTGAAGCCACGTGTATGTGTTTGACTATCCCAAATAAGTAATCGACTGATGTTAACTAGTTAACCTCAGCTTCAACAAGGCACAGCAATCAATTCACACTTACTCAATCAATGACCGAGCGAGATTTCTAATTTCGGTCGAACCATGCTTCCGCAGAATATTAACCGATTTACCAATCTCTGTAGCCTGAAAGTTCACCCCCGAATAAAGAAAATCAACAAATGTTACAACGACCGAGGAACATGACTAAGCAAACATAGAAATAAAAACCGCAATACAGACCTTGAGAGTCTCCACAGACAAAGGCATCAGCTGGAGCCTCCTCAGTGAATCAAACAACCATGAGTCAGACTGCAAGGAGGAAACAAAAAAAACAGCTATGATCAAAAACCTTATAAACTTGATATAGACATTATAAAATGAAATATTAACACAAGCGATCTGCTAAAAGCACTAAAGCACAAACTCAAAAGAAAGTAACACCAAATCTCTCAAACCCATCAAACACATGGGACTCATTTACATGAAAAAATATCACTCTTCTTGCAAAAATCAGCTTACAAATGGAAAAAGTGGTTCCAAACTAACTTTAGAGCCTCAATCCCATGAACTCAACCAATCAAACCAGCCCCAACAAAACAAAGTATAACAAAATTTTTCACACAGGCTAAAATAACAAAGCATAGCACAACTGAATCAATTTGGATCCAATTAACAACAACAGCAAAATAAAATACACACACACACACACAAAAGAAAAAAAAAACAGACCTCATCTTTATAGTTATCAAGAACCTCCTTGATCCTCAAAGCCTCCCCATAAAACTGAGATTCTTCCTCAATCTCATCATTAAGTGCCTCAACATCACCATAACTATCATCCCTAACCTGATTCACATTCATCTCCATAACCTCCCTGTTATTATCATCATCATTATCATCGTCATCGTCATCACAATCTCTGTTACTGCTGTTCACTTTACTCTCTTTCGTGTCCTTGCTCCCGCCGGCCTCAATCCCACTCTTGTACTTATCCACGCTTTTCTCCGGGCACTCGCCGCCGCCGGGAACGGCCAGCTCCATTTTCTCGCACCCAAAACACCTCGTGATTTTGCAGGCGAAGAGCACCTCTGCTATACGATCCCTCTTCAGTTTGAAGTCGTAGGGACAATCGGAGGCGGCCACCATTATTGCCTTCTCGATTATGTCGAAGATGTCCGAGCTCGCCGTCCGGAAATACTCCCTCCATTTGTCGAGGCTCGCAGAAGTACTCTTGGCCATGGTGAATTAAAAGAAAAAATTAAAATTCCTTTAACTCACGATGCCTTTTTTTAATTTTTTTTTCTGAAAATTGATAAAATTCAATCGGTGCCCAGATCAGGAAACCAATTGCTTTACCATGGGCACGAATCAGAATTTGATCTTCGATGATAAAAACCAGGCAAATCGAAGTTCGTGTGTGGGGGACAAAGTTCAATTTCTTTTTTTTTCCTTTAATTTCTATCTGTTTCTGACCAAATACCTCAGGTATGCTGATTAAAAAAAAAACAGTAAATTTAATTAAAAATCTGTGCAGATAATCTTAGTCTGGGCTTATGATTCAAAAACACAGACGATGAAGATAAAAATTATTATATTTTGCTCAAGAAAATTAAAATAAAAAACAATGGAGATAATGAGAGAGAGAGGTTTATGAAAACTATTGATATGTCAAAAAGGTAACGTGAGATAATCTCTCTCTGGAATAATATGTTTTATTTTCTCTCTCTAGAACACTATCTTACATTCTTGGTAAAGAATAGGAGTGCACCAAAATTATTATACTTGAGATTTGGTAATTTTAGGGTCTGAATGTTTTTTTTTTTAATTTATTAAACTGAAAGTGAGGAAAAAAGGACAGGTGATCAGCACAATTGGGGCAGCAAATGAGCCGAGCTGAGTCGAGCATTGAACTTATAGAGCAGGATTTATTTATTTATTTATTTATTTTTTCTGCTGCTAGAGCTCGAGCTCGAGCTCGATTTATTAGGCTCGAGCGCGACTCGATTAAAAAATACAAGAGCTCGAGTTCGGCTCGAGCTCAACTCGAATTCAAAATGTTAGAGCTCGGCTCGAGTTCGGTTCGAATTTTTTCAAGCAATTTTGTAAAAATAACCATTAAATACATATATATACAAGATTATTTTAGTAATTTCATATATCTCGAGCCGCTCAAGCTCGACTCGAGTTCGGTCAAACTCGAGCTCGAGCCGAGTTTTAACTTGAGCGCTCGTGAACTGCTCGACTCGTTTGCAGCCCTGCACAATAGAAAAATGGGTTCGAAGACCATTTTGTCTATTTTAGACTCAAATATAGTTTTAGTCTCTTTACATTAGAATTAATTTTGTTATTTTTATATATTTTGTCAATATCATTCAAAATATAAGTCTATTTACATGCCAATCGTAAGCAAAATTAGATACAAATAATTGTAAATGCTCTTAGGTGGGTCATCATATTTTTTTTTTTTTTCTTAATAATAATGATATCTATAATATATAACATTATCAGAATATATGACATTACAGTTTGAAAAGTACACAACACTTGAAAATGAATGATTGTCTGATCGATTTAGTTTTACAAATAGGTGTATCTTTTGTTAGAAAATATTATATAATTTAAATACAATATAATAAAATATGAAATTTGGCATCAATATGTAAATTGTAACTAAATAATAGAGTAACATAGTTGAGAGTTTGATTGTGAATCGTAATACTTACAACTATAAACGAGCTCAATCGAGCTGAGTTCGATCTATTGATGGTTGAGCTTCAAGTCTAGTTTTTATTTAGCCGATTGGCTTCACTCACTATAAGTGA